TGCAAATAAGGAATTCTTTGATAATATTAATCAAGATATTGCCGCATTTTCCTGTCTTGGCGAAACTCTCTCAGATCCTTGAGCGAAAAGTAGAAAAAGTGAGAGAAGAAGAGCGTGGCCAGCGCCAGGATTTACATGTTCTGGCTACATCGTACAGTGGACAACTGAAGGCTAAAACTCCCAATATGATACGCGAATCAGATTTCCATCACGTGGGCGACAAGGTTACATTCTTGAGAAATAGTTTATTTGCAATAATATGACATAAATATTAGTATCAAATGTCAGGAATTTATAACTTTTTAATTAATTATTAATTAATTATTAAAAATTAATTATTAAAATATTATTTGTTTCATATTGTATTTTATTTTTAAATCATATTACTTTATTTGCTACATAATATAAAATATTTTTTTTTATATAAATATGGAAAATTTAAAGATATAAAAAATATTTAAATATTTTTTGGCCAAAATTTTTCTGACATTTTAATTTGATTTAAGAAAATTATTAAGAGATATTTTTCTCTTTAATCCCTAATTGAGTTAAATTATTTTCTCTAAGAAATTACACTAATAAAAGCATTTAAGAGAATTACTGATTATATTCATTTGCACAGACTGGAAAGACACAAGACACTGCAAATAATGATACAAACGAAAAAGTTAGCAATGGAGTAGCAGCGAAAGAAAATAACGGAGATTCTCGTCCGGAAAAAGAAAATAAAGAGCAACGAGAAAAACGAAGTTCGTCTAATCAAACTCATCAGTAAGTATATGTTTAAGAATATGCATATATCTATCGCCTTATGCCGGAATAATAGCTTAATAAACACTTATCATACCTTATTATACATTTATAATATATCATGCAGAGAACTTATCTTTTTATAAATTTAATTATTAAACATATTTTATAAATTTTTATAAATTTAATTATTAACTAATTAGAACTTCTATCTTTTTATAAATATTTAATTATTAAACATATTTTCTTAGCCTTTACACATTCTTTTATTTTCATTTTAATCTTGGAGGAGATATAAATGATTAAAAAATATTTTTGCGTAAAAAGTATCTTATAAACATTCAAACTGAATATTTTCTAAAACTCAATCATTCACTGTACAGCAATATGAATTCTTTGAATAGTGAAAACTCTGAAAAGTTCAGGAAGAAAGAAGATAGTAAGGATGTCTCAGAAGTAAAAGAGAAATATGTCAAGAAAGAAGAAGTAAAAGACGATGAAGGATTAGATAAAAAGGATCGCAAATATTATAAAGTAGGTGTATAAATTAGTGTAAAGTTATATTATGTTTTTCATAGAATAAGTCACCAAGAAATTGCAAAATAGACCATTCGGTACTTTTATACTTAAAAATGATTAAAGATTGAATTTTAATTATTAAAATTTTATTAATTAAAATTTTATTAGATAAAATTTTATTTATTAAAAATGATTAAAGATTGAATTTTAATACATTTTATACGTTTATACATTGTTCTGTAATGTATAAACAAATATTCAAAATTTCATATTTATTACATATTTTTTCGTGCTTCAAGATTTAGCTTTTTTTCCAATTAATTTATTTACCATAGAATTAATTTTAATATAAATTTCATATTTTTAGGAAGAACATTATTATAGCAGTGGTATAGACAATTTAGACAGAGACCTGTCCAGTGTATCAAATAGTAGCGCTAGTTCGGGACCTACGCAAGAAGGTCCTGAGAGAGGTTTGTATTACAATTAGTCTAATCAAACATGTTAAATATATAATTCCAAAAATTATAAAAAAACATATACATATTTTTATTAATATAATATAATTTTAACTAATAATTATTAATATAATTAATATAAATATATATATTTATTTGTTTGATATCATAATATTCTTTAAAAATATTTTGGATATTTTTGTTTTCACACCTATATGACTATGTATTTTAATAATAAATTTATATTCAATTTTAGATGTAAAAAGAAGAAAAGTAGAGAGTGCCCCAAAGGTGATTATATATAATTTATATCGCACATTACAATTTCTCTATATTTTTCTTTATATATTATTAAATTATATAATATTATAATGTTATATAATATTAAATATTTTTGTATCTAGCAGGAAGGAAGACGTGCCGAGGCTGTCTTTGATAAAAAAGAACGCTCCAGCAAGGGAAAAACACGTGACGAACAGAAGGAACAGCGTAAAGAAAAGAAACAAGGACGAAAAAGGGTAATTAACATTTTTTTAAAATTATTTTGTCACAATCATGCATACAATTTGAATACCGGTACCATATGCATATATTATTGTTAAGTAAGTTGTTAATTAGTTAAATTAGTTGTTAAATAATAATATTGTTTAATAATATAATATTATTATAATAATGCAGGATCGGACGGAAGAATCTATAGTGATTACTGAACAAAAACGGAGGAAAGATGATGAGAGAGGTAATTTGTAATTATTTTGAATTCTTAATTTCTTATCATGTAAAGAACAAAAACATATGAGCCGATATATCAGAGCAAACATTTGGAATCAATTATACTTAAATATGAATATATTTTTGTCAGCCAAAGGTACGCATCAGAACGGTGACATTCCCGAACATAGAGAGAAGCATCATTACAGTAAGGTCAGTAGCAATTAATTGGCACTCTTTATAACGCTATAACAACAGCTAAACTTTTGTCGGTAATCAATTATGTATTTTTTGTTTTGGAGCAGACCTTAATTTTTTCATTCGCGATTTTTCCATATTTTTCGATTATTTTTGCTACTTTATTCTCTCTGTTCTTTACACCTTTTAAAATGTTTTCTTAAAATATATAGAATATCTGGAATAATACAATTAAATTTTTTTTTATTTGAAAATTATTACTCTGATACACCGAATGCTCAGTTTCAAGTTTGCATGTTTTTTTAACAAGAAACTCAGACCTTTTCAGATTTCTCAATTTATTTTGTAGATGTATAATATTATTTTAAGTTTATACGAGAATATACTCTTTAAATGGGATATATAAGATACAAGAAAATATTTAATTAAAAGAAATATGCAGTTCAAATAATTAACTAAATAAAAGCGTGTTAGACAAGAAAATATCATAATACATTTGCATTAGTAAAGTTGATTATTTCTCAAATATACAGGGTGTCTCATTTTAATATCCCACCCCAAATAACTTTCTTATTTTTAATTTTAGAAAAAGATGTTTCAGACAAAAGGAGTATGGTTTCAAGGGGGACATAAGGTGGTTATTAGTTTGACCTTAAAGAGTCACATGAAGGTTACATGAAGGTCATTTTGAATTTCTTAAATGGAACACTATATATTTTTGCATATTCTTGTAGCTTATCTCGAGAGCTTTCCAAAATACTATAAATAAACATTTTTCATCAAGTACTTTTCGAGTTATGAGGCTTGAAATCATTTCTTAATTTTACATAAACCATAAAATATCTTGTAAAATAATTTCATTTGTAATTTCATTTTTCGATTATCCTACCTTAATACTTTTATGTACAAAATAATGGGAGGAATCAATTGGTGTAAAGAAAACATAATTATTTCGAAGAAAAAATATGTAATTTGCAATTAACAATTCCAAATTTTTTCTTAAAAGCTTTGGGAAGCTCTCGAGATAAGCTACAAGAATATGCAAAAATATATAGGGTGTTCCATTTAAGAAATTCAAAATGATCTTCACGTAACCTTTACATGATTCTTCAAGGTCAAATTAATGACTCCATCTTATGTCCCCCTTGAAATCATACAACTTTTGTCTGAAACATCTTTTTCTAAAATTAAAAATAAGAAAATTATTTGGGGTGGGACATTAAAATGGGACACCCTGTATAAAGTATATTTTTTCGCAACTCTGTATTCCGTGAAATATATCCATACGTTCAATTTTATATATGCATAGTTTCATAAAAATTATATTACACGTCATACATCCACATACGTACGATTTCTCACGTAGAATTTGCGATTTTTTTTAGTGCTTTATAAATTAGTCTACTTTATAAAAGAATGAGAAACCAAGTTATTCTTTTTTTAATGACTTTCTACTTCTCATAGTTGATAAAGATGTCTACTACGAGTATGTTAAAAGGACGAAATGGACGCCTATAGTAAAAAACAAAAAAAAAACAAGAAAATATAGATGTCTAGTATCCCCCCCAATATCGCAAGAAATCACGGGAGATTTATTCAAGAATATATTTTCAGGAAAAATCTCCATACACAAAGGATCGTCCTCACGAACGCGAAGGACGCGAAAGCCGTGACAAACAATATCCTTTTCTATACATTTAATATTAAATATAGCACTGTGAATAATGTTCCGAATAATACTTTTATTTTTTTTTTCTTGCAATTAAATAATTTTGTACGATAATGTATTCGCGCTATTTTTGATGTATTAAACATTGTAAACTAATTAAGTGTTAAAAATAGTTTACGCATCATGTACATAGAATGAATCGTACAATTATTGAGTTGGAGATTATTTTCTTTTGTGTCTCACACTTTGTATCGATGGATTTTCAATGTGTTTGTCAACATGATTTATTAATAAATATATGAGTTATATTTATTAATTGCACTTTTTTATTGGTTGCAACATTATAACTTCGATTATAATATTTGGCAATAATTTAACACTTGATTAAACAACTTTTGTAAGTGTTCGTTTTTTTCTTTTTGCACTGAAAGATTTGTAATTTACGTGTCTCGAACTTTTTAACGCAATATATTTCTTTTCGTAATTATAATTTTTTTATTATCTTCTTTTTTTTCGAAAAAAAAGTCCTTAACTACTCAATAACTGTATGATTTATCCTGCGCACGAGAAAGCACAAAAGTTCGGTATGATCCTTAATTGTTCAAGTGCACTAGAAGGAGTTCAGACCCAAAACGAAGATGATGTACAACAATGGAAGGGAGCTCGACTTAACATTTTTTATGCTATGTTTGATGTTGCATGTAATGAACGTAGAATTCGAAATAAAGCAAAAAAAAGATAGTGGATAATTTGTATATTAATGTTTTAAAAAAATATCCAATTTTATAGAAAATAAATTATCTAAATGTCCGATAATTTTTGGTACATGTTTTTCAATTCAGTCTTTTTTTTCTTTCTTTCAAGGATGGACGGAGATCACGCAGATGCATGATGTGCGTCAAGTGCATTCGCAAAAATCGTCGATAATCGTAAATAAATAAATTAATTTTATAAATATTTTATGGAATGCTCCATTGCTAAGAAGGGTTGATGAAATTGGAGAAGTGTTTGTCAGCTCTCAAGCTCTCCTCTTCTAGGCGTTTCAGTCGCATCTTCGCGTCCTGCAGAATATCCTCCGTGGAGCTGCTCTCGCTGACGATCGTCGCGTTCGTTTGAGTCACGGGAACCGGTATTTCAACGCCAATCGTACGCGCTTCCTCCAGTTGGCGCGACAATTGCACGCTACGCAGCGTGATCTCCTCTATCCTCGATCGTTGCTCCTGCACGAGATTCGTCAATTCCAGCTTCTCCTGCTGCAGAATTCTACATTCATCTATTATCGCGCGAATTTCCAGATCAGTTTGCACGTGAATGTCCCTGACATTATTCTGAGCGCACTGATTCATCGCGCTTTGTGGCATCTCCTTCTGCATTTTGACGAGCTCCCGTTGCAGCTTCTTCAAACCGCCTTCAAATTTCTTATAACTATCCCGTTCTCTCTGCAATCTGTAAAAAAAAAATTCATCCAAAATAAATTTATATACATTTCAAATATAAATAAATATAAATAATAATATATATAAATAAATATAAATAATTTCAAATAAATTAATATAAATAATATTATTTATATTTATTATTAATAAATTAATAAATTAATAAAAAATAATATATTTCAATAAATATAAATAATAATATATATAAATAAATAATTCAAATATAAATAAATATAAATCAATCAATTTAATCGAAATAAAATATCAGAAAAAAATAACAAATGTATATGATTATGGAAATATTAATTATCATTCTTATCACTCATAAGTTGGACGGATAATCTTCTTTTCTTTATTTTTATAATGTATGGCCAAGTACCTGTTAGCTTCCTGTGTTAAGAAATTTTGTTTCATGGATAACTCCATCTCCTTCCGCAAGATGCATTGTGCATTACTGTCTTTCTCTTCATTCAGCTGCTTTTCTTTCAGTATCAAAGATTGCATTAAATTCTGAGTACATAAACAGAAAAAAATAGTACAAAAGATATTTACAGGACAATTTCTCTCAATTAAGATCTTTGATAAAAATATTAAACAAAATATTTATAATTATATAATTATAATTTAATAATATAATTAATATAATTATTTATTTATTATAATTATATATATAATTATATAATTATTTAATATAATTATAATTTATAATTATATTATTTAATATAATTATAATTTATAATTATATTCTAAAATACTTATAACGAAATTATTAAATATTTATTAAATATTTAACAAAATATTTAATAAATATTTAATAATTTCGTTATAAATATTTTATAATTCTGTTAATACAAATCTATCTGTAAGCGATAATGATAAAAGAGATAATGATAAACATAGGATATCTTGTATTAAATATCTTGTATCTAATTGAAGAGAAATATTTTACCTGGGCCTCTACCACTTTTGCATTTAATGAATTAAATTGATGTTTCATAGTGGAAACTTGCTGTTTCAATTTGCTCTCCTTTGTCCTCAATTCCTCATCATACATTTGCTTCTGTTGCATAATTTTCTTCTTGGCTGCACGCATTCTTGTCACTTCTGCAAAGTTTGTTTCCAGAACTAAGTTAGCTTGCGTTTCCTTGTCATACAAGAGACTCTTAATCGAAGACTGAGTGTTGATCATGAGCGAAGCTATGGAGCTTAGGATGGACAGCAGCAACGGTGCTTCGGTATTCATGTAATTCGATATAATATGCTGGCCCTCAGGCCTGTTTGGATCAATGCCCAATGTTTCCAGAGTGTGCACTATGTAATCGCTTTGTAACTTATTGCTACAACCACCTCTGTCATTGTCACTAGAGGAACGTTGTGGTACACTGTTGCAAAAGTTTACCAAGAGCGGTACTTCGCTAGCAAATATCGACAGGGTGAAGGAATAATTGTGACTAAACAGATATTCGGCTATTAACATATCGTAAACATACTGTTTCGCTGATTTTGCCTCTCTAGTCTTACACAGAGTCAGGTCCTTGTGCTTCAAAGCGTTCACCAAGTTTTGACGTAGGTGCGTTCTGATGTTAGATATAATCCCACATTTCTCAAACCTGCGGAGAAAACAAAACAGATGATTATATAAAATATAAAATAAAAATAAAAAATATAAATAAAAGTATAAAGTAAAAGATATAAATAAAAAATATAAATAAAAATATAAAATACAAATAAAAATAAATAGAAGTAGAAATAAATGGGAAATAGAAAAATAAAATTGTTCAAAAAAATAAAAATATAAATTATAAATTATAATGTGTCGCAGGAAATCTGATGGGATTTCAACGGTGTCAAAAATGAAAAGTGTCGTTTTGGAAAATTGCAAAAATATAAAGATAACCTTGACATAATTTTTTTCCATTTTTATCGCAAAATCGAGTATGATATATTATTCGTACACAGTTTATACGTTTACCATGTATACACAGTGGAGTAATAATCACCATCCATGTTGATTAAAAAATACACGTAACGCGATTGTGACAGTTATTTGACAAAAGGAACGTAAACGCAGGACGCTCAAAATTATTGATGTAGTACCCGCCATTTTCGCTCGATAAATAAGAAAGTTACCTTAGCGACTATCTTGCGCGATTAACTTACCGACCGTTGGTAAAGATGATTTTTATTTTTTATTCATTTCACCGGAAATAAATTAGCGCTAGAAGGTCATATTTTTTTAATAAACTATAGCTCAAACGATTGCTCCTTCCGAATCTACAATTGCTTCTCTAAAATTCTAAAATTAATAATTTTTTTAATATTGGCAAAAAACGTAATATTGACCATTTTTACTGAAAAACATATTTCTAATTTTTTTTCGGCAATTATATGCGGTATAAAACAATTGCTTCCTAATTGCTCCCTATTGCTCCATTATTAGCATCCATTATTTAACGATTATTGCATTATTTTATCGAAAATTAATAAATAAATCTTTTTTTTAAATTTAATTAATTAATTAATTTATTATTATTATTATTTAATATTAAATTTTAATTTTTAAACATTTTTAAATTTAATAAATAAATCATTTTACAAATGACGACGACGCCACCTGTCGGCCACCTAACGGAATTAAATATCTTAATAGTTTTCGGCAATTATATCCAATATAAAACGATTGCTCCTTAATTACTTTGCATTTTTTAATTGAAAATTAACAAATTAATCATTTCACTAGTGACAACGTCGCCAACTATCAATTTTTGGTTGCAGATAAATATAATAATAGTTATTATTACGTGGCCGGAATGTGTAGATTCTCCTAAGGGATTAGCATTGGCTACTAAACTGAAGAAGAAAAAGAAGATTATTCACTGAGGGAAAATTTTTTTTAAATCAAATAAATTTGTTTTCTTGAAACTTTTGCTTTAAATGCAAGGAATTGTTTATTTAAACAAAAGTATTTAATTTTAATTAAATATGCATGTTATATTAAGTACATTGTTTTCATTTATATATTTTTTATATTTAAATACTATTTTCGTAAAATGTACATTATAATTTATTAAATTAAATATATTATTTTTTAAAATTAAAAAATTTTAAATTTTTGGGAATAAAAAATGCACTTTAATAAATATTTTGTAAAATTAACATAAAAATATTTAATTAAAAATTATATTTTTTTAAGCATATATATATTTTTAGACATATGTAAATAAATACTTAACTTAAGCAAACAGACGTTTTGAATACAAGTAAATACGTGATTAATACCCACCGAATAAATAGCTTTCTTGAGTTAACTAAAATTTTTTTATTTCAAGATAATTTTGTCCTCAGTGTAGTTATCTAATTACCGTTCTGCATATAAAGTAGAATTTGTATAGAGTATTTCCTAAGTGATGTCCAAAACTCTAACTCCAAGTACTTCGTGAACGACTTTAACGAAAAAAGTTCCTATAAATATGGATCCTGAAATCCTTTTTTGCAGAGTTATAGGTCTTCAAAGTTTCTTTCGTCAAAAATAAAAGAATTCTGTGTATCTTTCTTAATTTTTAATTGAATAATAATGTTAACAAGTAATAAATTAAGTGTTCGAAATGTTCATATCGTTACAAGCTTGTATTCTTCTGATTATTGACTGTTATACTTTTTCAAAAATTCCGGATATATTCTGAATAATATTGAAGGAATCGACAATTCTTGCGATAAATCTTTGCGATATAATTTATATTTACGAGACATATGCTGAGCCTCGATGAAGAGCCTTTAATTAAAAATTACGAGAAAAATAATCACAGAATTCTCTTATTTTTTTTTAACTTTGAAGTCCCATAACTTTGCAGAAAAGTATGTCTGAATTTATGTTCATGTAGAAACTTTTATCTTTAAAAAGTCGTCCAAGAAATTACTTTCTGAAGTTTTTTGGACATTATTTAAGAAACATTCTATATATTTTTTATTTCATCTTTTTATAGGTAATTTTCGTCGATTAAAAATGTTAACCGTTAAAATTCTTGGAGCTGAAATAACATCAAAAACATTACTCGACTTCTTTTCAATTAGATGCATAATATATTTTTTGTCCTATAATTGTTATCAAATTAAAAATTACTCGAATAACGTTTATAGTGTTAATAATCTCTAAAATTTGATTAAATCTATTAAAATTACTTTCATAAAAAAAATAAATAAAAAATTGCAAATTTTAATATCAAAATTAATACAGCGATTTTTTTCACCATAACAAATTGTATAAATCTCTAAATATCATAATTATTAGTCGAAGATGTCTTATTAGCTGTCCCGAAAAAAATCGCTTAATTAGCGTTTGTGGCATCGAGTATAAATGTAAGAGAGTCTTAACGGAAGACGAGGACAGGCAACAGAGGAAAATGAGAGAAAGGGAGGGTGGGCCGATACAGAGAACGGGCAAACTAGATTCATTAGCACGACATCAGTGCAGCTGCGGCCAAGCCGAAACCTCCTCGACTCTGTATTCCCGGCTTAGTGGTTTCCGACGAGTAATTATTGCCCGAAACCAGTGTTGCCCGAAATCTCTCTCCCTTCCTCTCTCACCCTTTCTCCTTCTCTCTCGGAAAGGGCGATGAAGATCCGGTGAAAGGCCGCCGGGGAATAAAGCGGCAACAAAGAACGTCGATTTTCTTCGTTTTCCATGAGCCGATTAACCCTTCGTTGCGTGTTCCGGATGTTGCGAATTTAGGCCGGTCTCTCTGATATAAATGATATACAGGGTTAGGAAAAAGTCTGGATACCCCTTAATATTTTGAAAAATACGCATTTTTAGAAAAAATGTTTCATACAAAAGTTATAAGGTTTTATGTGGCGCATTACACAGCAACATTATTATGACCTCGAATAGCGTTGTCAAGGTTATGTGAAGGTCAGTTTCAATTTTTTAAATAGAATCCTCTATTTTTCATTGAATATTCTTGTATCTTACCTCGAGAGCTTTCCAAAACACTATAATAAATTATTTTTCCATGATGTACTTTTCAAATAATGAGGCTTGAAATCATTTCTTAATTTTACATAAATCATAAAATATCTTGTAAAATATTCATTTTTCAATTATCTTACCTTAATACTTTTATGCACAAAATAATGAGAGGAATCAATTGGTGTAAAGAAAACATACAGTTGTTTTTAAGAAAAAATATGGAATTGTTAATTGCAAATTACACATTTTTTCTTTGAAACAACTATGTGTTTTCTTTACACTAATTGATTCCTCTCATTATTTTCTACATAAAAATATTAAAGTAAGATAATCGAAAAATGAATATTTTACAAGATATTTTATGATTTATGTAAAATTAAGAAATGATTTCAAACCTCATAATTCGAAAAGTGCTTCATGGAAAAATAATTTATTATAGTGTTTTAGGAAGCTCTCGAGGTAAGCTACAAGAATATGCAATAAAAAATAGGGGGTTCCAATTAAAAAATTGAAGCTGACCTTCACATAACCTTGACAACGCTATTCGAGGTCATAATAATGTTGCTGTGTAATGCGCCATATAAAACCTTATAACTTTTTTATGAAACATTTTTTTTTTAAATGGGTATTTTTCGAAATATTAAGGGGTATCCAGACTTTTTCCTAACCCAATATAATCGAGAACCCTCTCTTCCGGAGATGCTATTACTGATTAAAAATATCGGCTCGCGTTTGCTGAAATATCTCGATTCTGAAACCTAGAGGGATGATGCAGATTTATACGTTGCTCATTGTAAGATCGCTCTTATACGTGATATTTGGGACATTTAACATCACAGAACCTCATTTGAAACAATAGAAAGCTTTCTTCACCCTCTTCTGCTGCTATTCCCTATAGTTCCTCCATCGTCGCTAATTTAAGTTTCCCATGCAATTCTTTTGTTACATAATCCAGCAAACATCAAGTAACTGTTATATAACTGTTACTTACAATTTCCCACTCAACAATATAACTGTTACATATGTTATATAACTATTATGTATTAAATAACAATTATATCGCTGAGTGGAAAATTACATCTAACAATTATACAGGGTGTCCCAAAACTCATAATCAATCTTTCAAAGACAGATTCCTGGAATCATTTGGAGACGATTTTTCCTCAGCGAAAATGTCGATGAAGGCCATCATTTTTTGCGTGTTCCCGATTTTTGTCATATATCTTTGCAATTAAGCCTTAAATTAAAACTCAACTAAAGTAAACTCTATTTAAAATTAATCGAAGAATGTGGTTTTGTCAATATTTTATTTCTACAAAGCTTAGTTTACGAAAAACCCCTTATTTCCAATCACTTATAATTCGAAAATTATTAGTGCCTCGACATTTTCGTTGAGGAAAAATCGTCTTCAGATGATCCCAGGAATTTGTCTTTGAAAGATTGATTATGAGTTTCGGGACACCCTGTATAACTGTCACTTGGTGTTTCCTGGGAATACATACGCGCAATATGTCCAAATTTAGATAATAAAGGAATAAAATTCGACGGGGAAATCCCGTTTCCCACACGCATACATATACGCAGAGAGATCGGTATCATTAGTACCATGACTAATTATGCTACGCGACCAACTAAGGGTTAACAACGTCGGCTGGACAGGGGGGGAGGGACCGGGGCGGCTGGAAGAGAGCCTCCCCCTCCCCCTTCCCCGCGCCCATGGTCGGGCTTTGGTCGACGGTCAACCTATAGGCGTGCCGCAGCGTGTGCCGGGAACGATTCGCGCGCGGTGCGGCTAGCTGATTAATTAGAACCCTCTCTGCACTCTCTCCCGGGCCATCGTCAAGGGAGCTCGATGTAATTACGGTACATCGGGAAACGCGCGGGCGCCGCGTATATAGCGCGCGGTGGGCGGTAGGTGGTGGGGTGGGAGGAGGAGGAGGAGGCGAGATAGCGGGAGGGCGATGGGATAGGAGGAGAGATGCGAAATGACTGCGCGGGTTGGCCACCGTCGCGGGGGGGCGGGGGCGGGAGGAGGGGGGGGAGTGACACCGAAAAGCACAGTGTGGTTCACGTGTAGTGTATAGCGCGGCGCATCGTTACCGATGCGAACGGAATGGTTAGGGATGA